ACATTAAATTAATAATAGGTTTTTTCCCTTTTTTGGCAACAAAACTGACACCTTTTGCAAGGAATCATGCTTACATTGACCTTGCAAAAGGTGTCAGTTTTGTTGCCAGAAAAAAAAAAGGGGAAAAAAAACCTATTAGTATATTTTGGTACTGGCAAAGGAGGTCCCATGATGACATTACAAAATACTGTACCTTTTTAAAATTTGTATTTAAATGTAATAACAGGACCCTGCGGGGTGGGCTGGTAGGAATAATACTTAGTACTGGTACAGGGATATCGACCGGGTATAGAGGAGTTAAAGACAAAATTACTGTATTCTAGTGTAACATTAATTAAAAGTGTTTGTTTTGACAAGAAACGCTGTGAGATTTAAAGACTCGTAGTCTTTCATTTCCAAACGATCACATCTGAGATTAATTGACCACCACCTTCTGCACTAGGCCTCGCGAATCCTGCCGCACTAGGCCTCGCGAAGCCTGCTGCACTAGGCCTCGCGAAGCCTTCTCTGCAGTAGACTTAGCGAAGCCTTCTGCACTAGGCCTCGCGAAGCCTCTGCAGTAGGCCTCGCGAAGCCTCTGCAGTAGGCCTCGCAAAGCCTTCTCTGCACTAGGCCTCGCGAAGCCTCTGCACTAGGCCTCGCGAAGCCTCTGCACTAGGCCTCGCGAAGCCTCTGCACTAGGCCTCGCGAAGCCTTCTCTGCAGTAGGCCTCGCAAAGCCTGCCGCACTAGGCCTGGCGAAGCCTGCCGCACTAGGCCTTGCGCCGTGCTTTTCGTGCACAAATAAGGCGATCAAATGTATCTCGTCTCTGTGTTAATAAATGTATCTGTCTCTTTGTTTAAAAAAAACGTGCTGCATTTCAGTGAAGTAAATTTGAAGCGAAGTTTAAAGTTTCGCCGTGAGGCGCCGGAAGCGACGGCCATCTTGTTTAGTTCACATATCGCAGGGGGAGCGGGCGGCCATCTTGTCGGACAGACGGACGGACGGACGGACACATTAATCTATTGGTGGTCTGGTCCACTTCGTTCCTACCAGTATAAAGTAATCGAATGTATCCGTGACATGTAATCGTGGAGACGAGAGAGAGGAGGAGGAGGAGGGTGATTGTGTAGGACTACTTTCACTGCCACGAACGGAGCCACTGCCATCTCTGGGCTCACTGGGGTCTGTCTGTGCCACTTCAACAATGAAACTTCTCCTGTTGCAAGACCTCGCTGGTTGATCAATATATTTGTTTTAATTGCTTATCTTGCAAAACACTCGAGACCAAGTTAATCGCAATCCAGGGTTTCACTGCACGTAGGCCTCGGCAAGGTAAGGTAAAATTTCAAAGTAAAAAGCAACGAGCCTACCTTTACTCTACCTTTTACCTTACCACAATACAATCACTCTACCTTATCTTTTACCCTTTAGCAGGTAAGGTAACAGGTAAAAGGTCAACACCAACGAGCCTACCTTTACTCTACCTTTACCTTACCTTCTACCTTACCACAATACAATCACTCTACCCTACCTTTTACCCTTAGCCCATACAAATGACCCGATTACAGGGTAATTACTGGGGAACTACTACGACATGAACAAGGTCTATAACGGTAAATGCTTTAAGGTAGAACGCTTTATACATATAGAATATTCTCGATGATTGCAATTTTACACGCTTTCTTTGAACTCACTCTGTCTGTTGTTGTTGTATCTTCAAATCTTGTAACTCAATTTTAACCCACTTCCCAATGTGGTATCGACTGCAAACTTGGTATACTTATGTCATACTGATGACAACACGATATTCTATCATTGAAAATATAAAAAAAAACATATTTTGAAACATTATTTTTTACATGTTATGTTTCGGCTTGGGTCTAATTGTCCACGCTCAACTGACGTTGGCTGTAATTGGCCACGGTCCCTTACGTTGGGGAGTTCTGCCATTACGAGTAGTACATTTAATAAAAGCCTGTTTAAAAAAAAGTTTCTACAAATATTACTTATTATACGGAGGCCACAGACTGCGCCACGGAGCTTCTAGCGCTATAAAAGGAGCCGTGTTTACCGTGTAACACTTCACGCTAACTTTACCCTACCGGGTAACTCTTCCTAGCGACCTTTACCCTGCACACTTGACCTTTACCCCTTGGCATGTCGACATCTTTACCCTTTACCTTGACCCCTTGTACCCGGTAACAAGGGTAAATTACCTTACCTTATTCTTAGGTTTTTTCGGTAAAGTCACAGGTAGGTAAAAACATTAAAAAATAAAATAAAAAATCACGACGTTTCGGAGGCAACACAAGCTTCCGTCTTCAGGTGGTAACCGTCACAGCCACGACAGCTGTATCAAGTAAATGAGAGATTGCTAGGAGCTACCACTCCGTTTATATAACCATTATATAATGGTTATATAAACGGAGTGGTAGCTCCTACAATCTCTCATTTACTTGATACAGCTGTCGTGGCTGTGACGGTACCACCTGAAAACGGAAGCTTGTGTTGCCTCCGAAACGTCGTGATTTTTATTTTATTTTACTTTTTAATGTTTTTACCTACGTGACTTTATCGAAAAAACCTAAGAATATTAATCATTACAGTCACGAAAGCTTCAAATCTAGAATTACCTTACCTTGCCTAGGCCTACTGCACGTGCTGCTTGACAGCCCTGTACGTGCACCTACTCTACTCGGTGAAGTCACGTGGGTCAACATAAAGTAACAACAACTTCACAGAATAACACCACCGATTGTGGATACTCGCAGTGACGAAAACTACACATCTAGAGACACGTGCCACATCTATAGACACGTCTTCTTCTTCTAGAGATACGCGCACCTAGCCTGGCACCTACAGCTGATCTCTCCAGCAGCAGCAGCAGCCTGTACCTGCGTGTGGCGCTGAGAGAGACAAAGGCGGCCGGGCGGGAGTTGTATCTGTGGGTCACCCTCCGTGGATGTAGCAACAGCTGGAGCGGTAGCACGTGTTTTGCAACACGTGCTGTGCACCACGTGCTCTCAGCTACTCGCCTCCAGCTCTAAGCCACTCCCCCTCCAGCTCTAAGCCACTCCCCCCTCCAGCTCTAAGCCAATCACCACCGACCCACCCACTCGTTGAAGATTGCTGCTGCTACTGCTGCTACTTGTGCTGCAACTGCAGAAGCAGCAGCTGCAGCAGCAGCAGTAGCAGCAGTAGCAACAGCAGTAGCAGCAGCAGTAGCAGTAATAGCAGCAGCTGCAACAGCAGTAGAAGTAGCAGCAGTAGTAGCAGCAGCAGCGACAGCAGCAGTAGCAGCAGCTGCAGCAGTAGCAGCAGCAGTAGCAGCTGCAACAGCAGTAGTAACAGCAGCAGCAGCGACAGCAGCAGCAGCAGTAGTAGCAGCAGCGGTAGCAGCTGCAGCAGCTGCAACAGCTGCAGCTACTACTGCAGCAGCAGCTGCTGCAGTAGTAGCAGCAGCTGCAGCAGTAGCAGCAGCAGCAGCTGCAGTAGTAGCAGCAGTAGCAGCTGCAGCAGCTGCAACAGCAGCAGTAGCAGCTGCAGCAGCAGTAACAGCAGCAGCAGTAGCAGCTGCAGCAGCGGCTCTATCTCCTATATGTCAGCAGTCCTCCTGCTGCTGCTGCTGTCCCGCACCTGATGACGATGGCTCGCGTGGCGATGGAAACGTCGCGATCTACGGCTTTGTCTACCTGCGTGACTTGAACGAGAGAATCGCCGAGACCCAGTGGCGGCTCCTGCAAAATCTCTAAGGGGGGGCAAATGTCTGGATGATTGATAAGGATAAGGTCCACCCATGCAATGGATACATTAACAGCTTAAGCATGTAAAGGCAACTTCACTTCTTTAATATTAATGAAAAATAAAGTGACTCTTACAATACATCTTGTTTCTATACTCACTATTATTACAATCCACTCAGTTTCTTTTATTAAAGATTCCACTAGGTGGCGACAAATAATATTGTTGACTGAAACGTGCTTACGTATGATGACGTAAGCACGTATGATGACGTAAGCACGTTAGGGCGAGCCCTCCCGGAAGCCGTAGAGAATGCATTGCAGCGCCCGCCGTTCGAAAACAAACATCTTTGAATGTAAGTCTATGGGGCCACTCGGGGCGATTCTCAGCCGGAGGGAAATCGCTCAAAAAGAGGCGGTACTCCACAGAACGTGACATGACGCTGATTGGACTATATCCAGAGGCACAGTGACGGCTAGCGTGACTCTGTGGTTGAATGACATTGGTGGTGCGTCGCCCACTCGCCCTAATGAAGAAACCGCCCCTGGTTCCTATAATAACCCCCTGTGGTCTGCGCTCCTCCAACGGAGGAGGAGGATTTACCAGCGACTCGAACTCTCTCCCTCTGCTGAAGCCCTCTCTCGTCGTGACCAGCAGCACATCTCAACATTGGCGTCGCGCTCCTCGAGAACGCAGCGCTGCTGCCATCGTAGGCAAGCAGAGAGATCACCCTCGGGGCAGCGTCTCCGCACTGTTCCAGGCTGAGGTGTACGCATGTACGCTGGACTTCTTTCGCACCGTACGTAGCCAATCGTGCTAATCGAAGGTGCGGGGGAAGGACAGACGGAGCTCTGCAAACGAAACGAAACTATTTTTTTAAAATCTTACCAGGTGGGGTCCACTGAGCGACACCGTTATTTTGCAGAAGCGACCTGGCCACACTGACACCTCAATGAAGCGGCTCGTCGTGTGGACATCTATAGCGGCCAGATACTCTAAACGCACGATGTTGATTCTAAACCTGGAGGGAAAAACCCGGCGACCCGGAGAAAAATCCACACGATCACGGAGAGAAAAATACCGCAAAACTCCACATACACAGCAGCAGGCGCCAGGGTCGGGATCGAGTCCACGACCTCCTGTACACCAGGCGAGGAAGTTAACATCTCCTAGCCACCGTGATGATGATGATGAGAGAGAGAGACACGCAAACTCTAAACATAGAGCAGCAGGCGCCATGCACGGGATCAAACAGACGACCTTCCTGTAGACCGCAGCTAGTCAACATTCTCCTCGCCAGCGTGGCATGGGGAGGGCATCGCGAGGGACTTCTCCGCCACCCCTGAGCCGTGACTCCGCGCCGTGACCACGAGCCGTGACCACGAGCCGTGACCCCGCGCTGTGACCCTATTGACCCCGGGCCGCCGCTCATGGCCCACGGTCAATGCCCCGCTGCGCAGAGAGAGAGAGAGAGAGGAGGAGGGGGAGGAGGGGGTAACGGTGCCAAGTTTCTGTTAAACTTTAAACAAACGGTAAAAGATGTAACACGTTGGTGGGCTTTAGGCCACCAATGTTATGATTTCGTAATTTATTTTTAGTCGTGTGACCGCTTTTGCCAGCCTTCGGGAAGGTGCCAGATATTTCTGGTGGTAGCGCTCGACACGAGCAGCCGTGTGGGTCGCTCTCGTATAACAAGAACAACAACAACACTGCTGGCGGTGCTGCTGAAGCAGTGAGACATCGGCAGCTTTATTAATCGACTGTGTCGGGTGGAGGAGAGTTCGCGACACACATTTTACTTACACAGCGATTCGCCCCCCCCCCAAAAAATAAACATGAAACGGTCAACGCTCCCTGCACGTGGGAACGTTGCGACGCACGTGTTGCTTCGCAGCGTTTTAAGGAATCTAGAAGCGGGGGGGGGCCCAGCGCCTTCAGCTGGGGTGGGGGGCTTAGCCCCCTCCAGCCCCAACCAGCCCCCCTCCAGCCCGTACAGCCCCCTCCAGCCTCTCCCCTCCCCGCGCCACGCTACGGGGCTGTGGGGCTAGAGAGAGGGGGGCATGGGAGTGGTGAATGGCATGGAGTGAGGGATCATCGGTGTAAGGCACTGCCACTAGAGCTCAAGGTACGACTATGTATAACAACCCTACACTGTTATTTGTACCAATTGATAGTCATATAAATAAATAAAATAATATTTTACATTCGAAAGGCGCATTTCAACCGTAGATCCCCATGCGCCCGTCTCTACGACATTCCAGCAACGTAGAGATGAACGCGACGCGCTGATAAATCATTGCCGAGAGAGTTGCGGCCGAACGGGAGCTCGAGGCACGGTGCGGTTTGGGCACCCAAAGCTACAGCCACCACCACCGCCACCACCACCGCCACCGCCACCACCACCGCCACCGCCGCCACCACCGCCTCCACCGCCACCGCCACCGCCACCACCACCGCCACCGCCGCCACCGCCACCACCACCGCCGCCACCACCGCCACCACCGCCACCACTACCACCGCCACCACCGCCACCACCGCCCACCGCCACCACCACCACCACCGCCACCGCCACCACCGCCACCACCGCCACCGCCACCACCACCACCGCCACCACCGCCGCCACCGCGCCACCGCCACCGCCGCCACCACCACCACCGCCGCCACCGCCACCGCCACCACCACCACCACCGCCACCGCCGCCACCGCCACCGCCACCCTCCGCCACCACCGCCACCACCGCCACCACCACCGCCGCCTCCCGCCACCACCGCCACCACCGCCACCACCACCACCACCGCCACCGCCGCCACCGCCACCTCCGCCACCCCGCCACCACCGCCACCACCACCGCCGCCACCACCGCCGCCACCCGCCACCACCGCCACCACCGCCACCACCCGCCGCCACCACCGCCGCCACCCGCCACCACACCGCCACCGCCGCCACGCCACCGCCGCCACCGCCGCCACCCGCCACCACCGCCACCCCCACACACCGCCACCACCCCGCCCACCCCACCACCCCCCGCCACCACACCCCCCACCCCACCACCCCGCCACCACCACCACCGCCGCCACCGCCACCGCCGCACCACCGCCACCACCGCCGCCACCGCCGCCACCGCCACCACCTCCGCCACCGCCACCGCCACACCCACCACCAACACCACCGCCACCACCGCCGCCACCACCAACCACCACCGCCACCACCGCCACCACCACGGGCGCGTGGAAAACAAGTGTCCGCATTGTCAGAGGCCACTTAAGCGGCGGCGGCGTCGACGGATCGCCTCCTGGGCGGATCGCGTTTCTGGACAGCGGCTTCCGATACCGCGCTCCCCGATTACCCGTGATCACATTGTAGGCGTCACCCGAGGTTGCGTGATGCATGCGCAGGCGGAGATGACACGACTGGAAAAACGGGTCCTCCTCACGCGTGTACAACTCAAATTAGGTGAGACCGACTGAGCAATGCAGCTCGTTTCTCAAAGGCGAGGTGGCGATCACAAATGATAGCTCAACGACATGGGCTTATCGTCGCGTGGATATTTATAGCAGACAAATACACTCCAAATATACAGCAGCAGCAGGCATTAGTGTCGGGATCGAAGCCACGACCCCCTGCATACCAGGCGAGGTAGTTAACATCTCCTAGCCACCGTGGTGATGATGAGAGAGAGACACGCAAACTCCTAATATACAGCAGGCGTCAGTGTCGGGATCGAACCCACGACCTCCTTCATACCAGGCGAGGTAGTCAACATCTCGCCACGTACGAGAATGCGGACTTCCGCAAAGACCATCATCACCCGTCATCACCATCATCACCGTCAGCACCATCATCATCACCATCATCACCGTCATCACCGTCATCACCATCATCACCGTCAGCACCATCATCATCACCATCATCACCATCATCACCGTCATCACCATCATCACCGTCAGCACCATCATCACCATCATCACCGTCATCACCATCATCGCCGTCATCACCGTCATCACCATCATGAACCGTTGTCTAATCCACTGCTGAATGAAGCTGACTCCATCGCTTCCTCTCCCCGGCGACGAACTTCCACGGGGACGCGTCGTGTCTCGACCATGGCCCCTTCCGGCGAAGCTGTCCTCTCACTCCGAGCCCGCTCAGCCCTCCCGGTGTTTGAACGATGTTCAGTTTAAAGCCCCCGCGCGCACCTCTCGAATCCGCGTGCTCCGAGTGCCGTCTCTCGGCGCCACTTCCGAGAAGGCATCTCTCTCTCTCTCTCTCCGTGATTCTTTGCCCACTTTTA